CTAGTGGAAAGCACTATTAATGGTTCCCTGTAGGAATACATGCTCAGAACACCTTTTTGAGCCAAGGTTTAATGGGACAGAACCATGTTGGAGGCCCCTGATACCTACACAGACAGATTATTCATTCACAGAGGAAAGAACTTCTAGTTTTATACCATTGATCCCATACCAATTTACCTTCTCACTGCCTCTGTGCCAAACAGAGAAGGTTCCTGCACACTGGAAATTCCTGTGCTCTTGCTGGTCCAGTGCTGTTCCCAATATGGGTCCTGTGATCCTGTGCTCAGAATGAACCTGAAGGCAGGACCAGAAGAGAAGGGCATTTCATCCAAGCTGCCTGTACTTTATCAGTGTAAACAGAGATTCCACTTGACCAGGGCTGAGTGTCACCCTTGAGATAATAGTCTGTACAACTCTCTGAGAAGTCTGGTCTAGGATTTCCTCCACATCCTTTAACCGACTTGGGTCCTGTTCTCCATCATCCATCAGGATTTATGGGTGGCTAGGGCTAAATTTTTATATCATGATGAGAGCACAATGAATACAGTCACCTTGGCAGCTAATAAAAGCTTTCTGTCTTCCATTCATAAACCAATGCACTACTGTAAAATAAGGAAACTGATTCCTATTTATTTACTTATTATTTCCCTTAGAAATTAGTGAGGAATAGCAGAAATATTTGGAAGCCATCAGGAGATGTACTACATAATTAAGCTGTTGTCCCTGCTGATAAGTTATTATAAGCAGGTTACCAGATATTTGCATCATTACAAATTATCATACAGTATTTCATATTATAACAGATGAGGCAGGTCCTTAGTGGGAGCATAGGTTGATCATTCAGACATTGTTGATACAGCTGCTACACATTACAACTGAACAATTTAATAGTTTACCAATTGACTGTAAGGTCAATGCTTATATATTCTTCACAAAAAAATGGTGGATGGAGTTTTTTTGCCCACTGAGGAATTGCTTTTAAAAGACTGTTTTATAAAAATATATGTAGACCAAAAGGGTTGCACTCTGTAGTAGCTTAAAAAGTCTTATGCCAAAGTTGCTAATCCAGCCCACTCATGGCTAAAATTTATCAAATATATTAGGATTTTTTTTGTAAGTAAAAACTTAAAGAGAAGAATATTTACTGGCTGCAATTCATTTTTGAGTAGATGGACCATCATATTCTAAACTGCTAGTCAGGAATGATTCCCACTGCACCTTTCTATGGCTGCAGTGTCTTCCAGAAGGCAGTGAATGTCAAGTGTTGGTAATTTTCTTCCCTGGAGTTTAAGCTATAAATAAGGGCAGTGTGGGAAAGTTTATTGTCTCTGCTGGAGAAAGAACCTGATCTCATTGACTGTGTCGTGTCACCATCTGCCATGGACTGTGTTTGTGAAGATACAAATTAGACAATGCAGGTGTTGAGCTAAAAATCTTGTGAAGAACATATATAGTAGAAGACCCATTTTTGGTAAAAGAATAACAAGAGTGACAAGGTTTACTTCACATATCTTAAAACTAATTTTAACTGTTAATATGTTGTTAACATACTATTAACATTGGTTCTTTTTTGGTTGATAAGCAACATGATAGAAAGTTGGGCATGAACTCTGCAGCCTCTTTTGATGCTGCATTGGCTAATTAAGAATTATGGCACCTCCAGCAGTGGGGCCTGCATATTTTCTGGCAAGTGACAAAACTGCTGTCTGTTTTCTTGTAAGGGAAGAAGCCCTTACCTGCCCTTCCAGAACTAAGAAATTCTCTATGGGAATCTGTGTGCCTGACTTCTGAAAGCTGCAGCTGGTTACTGCCGCCAATTTACTTGTAAAAGGAAAAGCTATCAACATGAGCACACTTGCTCAAAAATAATGAATTATATCTGTTAGTATAAGCCATACAGTCAAGTTGGCTCAGGCTGAATGTCAAATTAACCTCAGGCTGAATGCCATGAAAATAATAAAGACAGAAGAGGCATACCTGTTAGAACAATGGTGCGTAGTGTGCTTATAAGAACACAGGAATGTGAGTCACAGTGGCTCTGTACTCTACAAAGTACTGTAACCTTTGTCAGAAAAACAAGTGCAGTTTATTTCCTTGACAGTGTACTTTGGCAATGGTGTAGCTCCTAGAGTTTTTCTTTATGCTGCTTCTTGGAAGGATGAATAGGTCAATTGTTGCTTCACATTCCTGAGGTTTGATTAATGCTGGAATTATGATTAGTTGTACTTGGGGCTGCCACATGGAGTGGAGAGGCTGGGCAGCAGAGAGGGCGAGAGGAGGGTGGCATTGGGAGCTCACCTGGGATTACACTGGTGACTGTTCTCAGCCTGCTGATTCCAAAGGTAAACCTGTCCTGCAGTGACCAACACTAGATCCTGGTGATGGCCAAAGCCATCACACTGGGGTTCACATATGCTGCCTCACTGCCTACAGCTTTGTTTCCCTAATTTTGTTTAATTTTCAATAATTTTTATTGACAAAAAAAAGATCTACAACCTTAGCTACACTATCTTAGTAATTACTTACATGGGCACAAGAAATGTGATTTTACACTGGCCAGAATATATATGTACACACAGACACACAGACATTATATATATATATATATATGCCACATACCTGTATATTACCCATTTTTGTCTTGATCATGGATTAGTTAATTTTTTTCGAAAGGATAAGAAAAGAGGAATTTCACTCTACAAATGCAAAAATATTGGAAGAACCTAAATATTTTGGGCCCAATATGTGATACCTAGGGATACATTTTTATTTTTGTTTTAAGTGATTGTTTAGCATTCTCTAGGATTGTCTGTGTTCACTTTAGCCCCCAGTGTGTTCTGGTGCAGCTGTGAGGAATTGCAGCCACTTTGAACTACGCTCTTCAAGGACATATATTTCTTCATGCTGTAACATCTTCCCTGGAGAAACCTGAGCTAGCATCTGAGCTAGCTGACTATAGCAACCAGAAATATTTGCTTGGGGAGCATGAAGCATCCCATCCTAGGGGCAGATATGCAAAGCCACTAAATGGGAGGATTTCTTGTGAGACAGAACTCAGAAAATTATTGCTGCTTGTGAAAAATCTGTGTTAAGGAGTTTGCCCAAATCACAGAAAGATGGTGAGATGAAGGCAAGGAAAAGACTCAGGGCTGCATCCAGCTGCCTTTGTCATTGAACTCAGGTTTTCTTGTGTCTCCTTTTCTACACAACTTTTTGGTCAAACAAAGCCATTTATACAGGGGTTTGGTTTTGTTTTTTTTCCAGGAGCTTGGTCCACTCAGTGAAAACAATCCATTTGGTTTACAAACACTGTATGAGAAAAAGGAAATCATTATATCATACTCTGATTAAAGATTTAATACCTTTTTATAGTTATGAAGTCATGGGAAGGCAGTGAGCATGGGACTGAGTTTGAAGTTGAGTAGAATATGCTTTAGTGATCATAAATCCTTCTACTTCTGCTACTCTCAAACTTTCTCCTTCCTTTCACTTCAACCATGTCTTACTTCTTTGCTGTGTTCTCCATCCAGTCATACAACTCAAATTCCACTTCTGTGAACCAGCAGCATCACTGATTTCTGCTCCTAAGCCTTCACAATGCTGTTCCTGTAGAAAGCCTATGTACACAAACACAAAAAGTTCTGCTTGTCTTGGAAGCTCTGAGATGGAATAGGTCAGTGAAGAAACTGCTGGAGACCACCTACACAATGCCAAAAAATCTCTTCTGCAATTATGTAAATAAAATAAGCCACTCAGGACTTGACGAAGTTTGTGCAGGTTTTCTAGGCTGCCAAAGTTGAAAACACTACCACAAAGCACAGCTTCAATTAAATACTTATAAACAGTATATATATATATATGTGAAAGAAATGCATATTTCCTGCTAATTTGTTTTTGGAAATGAGTGAATTACTCCTTTAAAGGGACTTAAAAGAAAATCACTACCCTGAGTAAATAATTAATTGTAGAAAATTCCAGCTCGAATAAGTTCATTTTGATCAAAATACAGGTAACTGAAACTGAGTCTTATTGTTTGAGACCTAGCTGCTGAACGGCTACAAAACTGGCAATAGTGCCTTTACACATTACAGAAACAAGACTGTGTTCTCAGCCCATATCTCTGAAATTCTCTGTGCTTAATTTTCTGAGAAGACAATGCTTATGCAATCACACATCTGTGTGTATTTTCATATTTCCATCCTCCACCATATTTCTTTTAATTCAAGGACTAATTTCATTGTATAGTTCATATTTGGAAGAGGCACATACAGGACCCTTCTTCAAGCCTCCCACCTAAAGCTCGGCTAACTTTGAAATCACAGCAGGTTGCTCCAGCTTTGATTGATTTTTCAGTACCTCTGAGGATGGAGCTTCTTCAGCTTCTACAGGGAGCCTCCTTCACACATTTATTTTCTTGCAGATTATGTTGGAACTACTTTTATAAAAATACTAATATTAATGTCCAAATAAGCTGTTCTGTCAACATGCTTTCATTTTCTGCTGTGTCTCTTTGAGCTCTTGCTATGAGTAAAAAATCTATTGCTTGAACAAAAATTAGCTTGTTTCTCCAACCACAAAACTTGCAAGATTTGAACATGAATCTAGGGAAAAAATTATAAAAGAAAAGTGAAACCTTCCAATTTTATTTTATTGTGCCATCTGTAAAAAGGTAATAAAAAGGGCAATGAGCTTGTTAGACAATCACCATGATTGTCTTGAGAAATCACAAAGATTACCCATTGCTGACAATACATCTTTTCCAGGGGAACCCCTTTATGCTACAGAATTCAAATATAGGATTCTACTATCTAAATAAAAATAACCTTTTCAAAAACTCTGCCTTGTGTTTTCCATTGATTTAGAATACATACAGGGGACTTGCAGAAGTTACTCACAAAATTTCAGAGGCTTCCTACTTTGAATGATCTTAATGGATAGGCTGAAAGCCACTCAGAAATCTATTGTGGCTTTATACTTACATTTTTTCCCCCCACATATAGGTCCCAAAATGTAGTTTCCTGATCCAGATGCTGTTATTCTCTTCTGAGTAATGGTCCAGCAGGCAGGATGCTGGGGAAGGCACAGCAAACACAAAACTCTGCTGGAGCATTGAGCAGGCTGCAGGGTCAGGTAAGGATCATTTAAACAACATGACATTTTTTCAAATTTCAGCAAAGCTTTTAATGTTATTTTGCAACCCAACATGAAAAGTAGGTAATAAAGCAAATTTAAGGCTTGGAAACATCTCCAGTATTTTAGATTAAATCCTTACACTCTATAATTTTTACGTTGGTTTTTCCACTACTTGTTGTTCAGTTTTACCAGAATTACGTCGTAAATAGGTCTGAGTTTTTTTCACATTCATATTTTTCAGTTGATTTGTGGCACAGCAAATTCTAGCCAACTTTTCTGCTCGGTCCTAATCCCTGTGTCTGGCTGATATTTCACAACATGTGAGGCCAAAACCCCTGACCTTTGAGAGTATTTACACTCTTTACTGTGGGGTGAAATCCTTAAAAGTGTCCAGCCTCTGTAGCACTCTTCAGAGCTCCCCACACATCTCCTAGATGATTCAGTAGCAGTTGCATTTCCTGTAGGTGGTGTGGCCAGGTGACCTTTTTATAACCCCGAAGTCATTAGCTTTTGGTGTTGTCCCAAAGCAGGTTGTGCAACAGGCAGATTCACACACAGACATGAGGTAATTAGACATACTTACAATTCTGTCCAGAAATGGAGGCTGGATGTCACCTCCACAAAGCCAGCACAACGACTATTGAAACTCTTCACAATTTATAAAATTTTAGCAAACAGAGGCATTAATGTTCATTGGCTATGAGTCACATAGTTCTCTTATTCATATTAATTCTTCTTTTGGTTGATGATTCTTATGTTAATTAGTCCTATGCTCAGTCTTTCTCATCTTTTATGCTGGCTTTCCAGTAGTTTTTCTACAGAAGTCACAAAACCAATTAATCATCTCAAATTTGAGTTAATTACTGATTACCCAATTGCTTTGTATGATCTCATGCAAAGTGCCAGAGTGATTGCATCAGTCTAAGCTTTTATTAAAAGCATGAAAATATAGACCTCCTGATTTTGGAGAAAAATTTGGAACTCAAGTGTCACCAATGAAAGCTATGGAAAATTGGAAGCAGGTAATGAGTCACTGTCTTGAGAGCATGCCAGTTCTTCCACAATGATTGCCAGTAATACATGCAAATAACCTAAGGTTATTTACTCTTCTAAGGCTGTGAAAAAATCAAATGCATGACAAACAAATAAGTATTTACACTGAGAATTTCAAATGCACATTCAGCCAGTGTTGTTTTGACTACAGGATTTCCTCAACAGCTCTTAAAAGAATATAAAAAGTCATTACTCTTGTAGCAGAGATGCAGACACAGGATTGAATGACTAGCAGAAAACAAGTTTGTTTTGCCATATGGTCATACTAATGTTTCCTCTGTTATGACTTACCTATTTAAATGCCTTCGTCCTTCATGATAAATTAAAACATCTCATTTGTTCTGGAAGCAATTCTGTTAGCTCCCAAAGACAGTGAACATTTTAAAATACAACTGTACCAGTACCCCTTTAAAGGTATATGCAAGTTTAATATTTTTTGCCATTAATTTATCATCTCTTAAATTAACAATTTTATGCTGTTTCTTATATTTATACACAGTCAATGATTAAGGTACAAACAAAAAGACAACATCCTTCTCAATAAGGTTTAGTTTCTAAAAACAGGTGTAACACCCAGCCAGATATAGCATAGAGGTGTAACATCTATGTTGTGTCCCTTAAAAGAATTAAAAGTGCAGATAAATTGAAAATATAAATCATAGTAGAATAATCTACTGTTAGGAAAAAAGCTGAGGGATTCCAACCACTAAGAATAAATGTATCGTTGTGCACTCTGATTGTTTTGTACATATTTTTTCCTTTAAATCTTTTATAATCATTAAGGACTTGAACTATATGATGCTTTCTAGATGAGCTATCTTTTCATTTGTTTTCAATGCAGATTATTTATATAAAATAGTCTTTAAAACTACTGCACAAAAACTAACTTAAGTACACTCTGATATCAGAAGTTTCAGAACAGTTTCCAGAGATCAGCTTAAAGAGGTATCACTCTTTGCAGAGCAGGCAGGTAGTTACAACATTAGCAGAAATTTAGGAACCAAGGTTCACAGTCAGTTTCCCAGAAATCAGATCAGCCTTCCATTACCAAAATGGCTGAGTAACAGAATCTGTCTGTTGGCCACTTTGTTATGAGTTATCTTCATACACCTGAAGAAAAGAGGCCATAAACAAAAAGTTAGAAAGTAGCTGATCCTTCGGAACTTGACAAGGAAGCAAAGGAGATGTTAATCTATAGGCTCACAAATAACCCCTTACCCAAGGTACTGAAGAAGCTCCTGTTCAGGGCAAGTCTGTGAGCTGTGGTGCTCTTCCGTGGTTCTAGAAGGTCACTGTTAAGGAGATTGCTGGATGAGTTTCACCTGACATGCTTCTTTAGTATAAACCATTAAACTAACATAGCAGTGAGAACAAAATTAAAAAAGAGTGAGGAGATGTATGTTTCATCTGGTGTATTTCTTCACTGATTCTAAGAGCCACTAGTGCAAGCAGGATTTTTCTCCTGTCCATGTTCCATTAACTTCAGTCCTCTGACATCCCTGGCCAAAGCTGGAATCTGGCCTTTTTTGCAAAGCTGAATGAAGATGTGTTCTGCCTCCAAGTTTTCCAGATGGTAGTGGGAACAAGGGGAAGACCATGAAACAACCATTCCATAACTTATGAAAAACACAATTTTCATCATTGTTGCCAAGGAGAAATGGATGTAATATTTTATGTTTCCTAGCTCCCAAGTGAGGATAACAAACAAAGTCTCTTCCATGGGTCATTCTACAGTCTCTTGAGATCCTCCTGCCTGCATATTTTGTCTGGTGACTGAATCACAGGCACAGCAGTGGAGTGATATCATATGAGTGTCCAGCACATATTTGTGAATCACTGTTCTTTCACAACATTCAGTGGTAGTTACCCAAGCCGAGAAATAATACTTTCCTGAATTAAGTTATACTAGGTAAAGTTTATTCAAAGGTTTTTGTTTTTGGGTTTTTTTTTTCCCCTGGAGGAAAGAGAGAAAAATGTCACCATGGTGACTTACTTTCAAATGAAAGCAAATTCAAGTGGCAGTGTACTAGCACTTTAATTAAGAAAATTTCCCCCTCTAAACACAATCTAGAAGTTTTACTTCATTCCAAGACAGGTGATTAATTAAGTCCTTTCACAGGGAATGTGGGATTTTGTTGGACTGACTACAATCACAATCCCCTAGTAGTTTCTAACAGATATCCTGGGGAGGTTAGACAGCAGTTGAGGGACGAAAAGACCTCACAGTGGCGTTTGTATGTACTGATTTAAGGAAAACAGGTATGGAAATAACAGTTTCTTCAATTAATTCTGTTAGTTATAAAATGTAGAGTTTGTATTAAAACGTATCTTTGTCATGCAATTCTCTTTTCTACCCTCTCAGACAGCTTCCAACTAAACTTCTAAAGAAAAGGCTGCTATAAATGTAGCTGTTTCTCCTGCAATATGACACAATGCACCAGATTATTTATGTCTCACAATACTCTTTGCAAAATAGAGTTATTAACCTTTATGTCTTGGCTGACTTCTTGTGTGGGTATTTTCCCTCTCTCTTGAATCCTAAGTATGCTTTTCTTCACATCTCCTTGTCTTACATTCAGGCAAACTTTTCAGCAGAGAGCCTTGATTTGCATGATTTGTGCTCTTCTCTCTCCTTAATTGGTCTGCAATTTTTCTCATTTAACCAGTTGTTTGTGTTTCCTAGAATCTATCACTGCACACAAGTAGAGAGACTGCTCCTGTGACTTCCCATTTCCCACAGAAACAAACCATATAACTACATGTTTTTCCTTTTTAATTTTGTTTTATTACAATTCCAGACAAACACAGTATTATTTAATGGACTACAGCTTTTTGCCTGCTCCTTTTGTTTCATACAAAAGAGATATATCTTGCCTCATTATCTTGTTCCACACAGTTAGAGACTAACCCCATTTTCCTGTTCCCTTGCTTCTATTCAGAATGAGAGGTTGTGCTATAATTTACATTATCTTAGAATTTTCAAGCATATTTTGATGGATTCAGTCAATCAAAGATACAGCTCTCTGGGCTACTGAAGAGGCCTGATTTTAAAGTTTTTTTGTAGTAAATGATGTGAATTTCATTTTGTATCATGACACTAATGCAAAGGGGAGATGATAATATATCAGCATTAAGGTCTGGAATCATATGAATCAACTACAAAATTTCTTATTCTATCTGCTGCTGATTTGCAGGTAAAATTGCCCATTTAGCTTGAGAGGTATGCTGTGGCATTTTAGGGGCATGTGTCTTCATGCCCTTGTGACTGGAATAGAGTTAATTTTCTTCCAAGTACCTGGTACAATGCTGTGTTTTGGAACTGAGATGAGAATAATGTTAATAAAACTCAGGTTTTAGTTGTTGCTAAGTAGAATTTATGCTGATTTGTGAGGACATTTTATCCTAAGATTGACCATTTTTGCTATCTTTGGAGCAGGATGGTTGTTTACCTGAAAATGTACATTGGCATTCAAGAGTGTGGGCATAAACCCAGGCTAAAAAACTCTACTATAGGTATCTGCTGTTACCGTTTGTATTGTCTCTAGCTGATTAGAACACCAAGTATAGCTTTCCTTTGTTGCATTTAAATTTAACTTTTCTCATGTCCTACTTTTGAAACAATTCCTTCTTTTTCCTGTCTTTTTCCTTCTTCTTCTTCTTTTTTTTTTTAATTTTTTTTTTTTTTTTGGACAGAACCCTTACTCATCTCCTGTCCTCATGTAACTGAAAATAACTCTCAGATTCATAAGATTTTATGGTTGCTGTAGATTATTTTGCATAATTTAAATGAAACATGAATATTTCAGGTCTCATTTTAAACTGTGTGCAATTTCAGGATACACAGGTCACAGTGAGGACAAAGTAGTTTTCTAGTAGTTTTTCTCCAGCTAAAGATGAACAACCTGGCAATAATGCAAATTTATGTATTTATGCATAACATAAAT